GGCTTCGGCGCGCGTCAGTGGGGCAGCGCGTGTCAGCGCAGCTCCTCCTCCATCATGCTCATTAGTAGCCATTTGGGCTCGGGACTCGACGCCGCCGAGTGAGGATTTCACACCGCACCTTTTCAATTGGGCAAGCGCCATGGGCAAGCGCGCCCACGATGCTCCCGCTAGACCGCCCAAAGTTCCCAAGCGCGCCGCCAAGGCCTCCGCTGCCCCAGCATGCGGTGGCGCAAGTCCGTCTTCAGTAAACCCTTTCGCCGGGTGCCTGAACGCGACGGTCCAACACAAGTTGTGCTGCTACGACGACAAGATCATGCGACACCCCGCCTTTGACGGCATCATGCATGACCAACCGACGGACAAAAGCGGGGTCCATGCCTACAATCCAGATGAGGCCAAGAAGAAGCTCGACGCTGGTCAGCCCTACGTGGCGAGCATCCCTTTCTTCTGGCTCAACTTGCGTTACGAGTCGCAGCCGAACGTGCCGAAGTACTGGAACCGCATCGAGAACCTTCGCAGCCACTTCTGGCAGACGCCTAAAAGCTACCCAGACACTATCACCGTCGCTCACACGCGGGGCGACGAGCTGCCGCACCTTCGGCATGGTCAACTCCAGGCGGTCTGCATGCCTGAGATGCGGGACGCCCTGCGCGTGGCCATAGGCATGGCCGCCGAGGCAACTGACAATCTCGACGCCATGCGTGAATGGCGCGAGATGCTGCAGTCCATCCCCGTCCGCTTCATGGTGGTGGACCCGGGGCACTCCCTCAACGTCACCTTCCAGATCTTGGTGCAGGGGCGGGAGGACCTGGCGGTGAAGCATGAGAACATGCGCACGTCCAACCTCATCCGCTCGTACGAGATCATCGACTTGAAGAAGCAGTTGGAGGAAGGTGGACAGAAGCAAAACAACAAATCATTGGCGGATTACTACGGCAAACTCACCATGGCCAAGTCCTCGGAGAATGTGACGCCTACGTTCGTCGAGAATTGTCTTACACTTCACAACCAAGTGCTGATCGTGAAAGACGTGAGCGACATCTGCTTCCGCTTCGATCAGCTGGGCAACGATAACCCCATGGACAGCGTGCTGAAGCACAAGGAGGTCGGCAGCCAATGCGACAAGAAGAGTACGCTCATGATTTGGGCCTACGAGATGCTGTGGGACCACTGGCATTGCACTGACGGCAAGGAGGCGATCCCACTGCGTTTGCTCGAGGGCAAGGTCCAGGGCTGGGGCAACAAGTCCATCATCGATCTCTTCGTCTTCAAGCGTGCGCTGCGCGACTCCCTGTGGAGGCGCCTTGAACAATTTAACTGGGATACCGATGTGAAGACCGCCTTCAAACAGTTCACCGAGGCGGTCGTGACATGCAGGAAGAGGTTCGGTGTCATTCAGAAGCCCAAGAGGGATCTCGACGGGGTGGCCACGGACCGCACCCTGCCCCACTCCTGGCCGCCCAGCGCCGGCCAACTGCTCCTCATGATGGAAACCCTTGTCTACGGCTACGAGTACGACGTGGCGATGATCAAGACCATGGCCAATAAGAGGACTTGCGATGACTTCCTGGAGACCGCGGACGTTTCCCACATGATGTCAGAGCTGATGAAGACGTACGATGATGAGAAGAAGGCTGCCGGCATCGTCGACGACGCCGAAGCCGATCCAACTGCAGCCGAGGAAGAGCAGGCGGCGCAGAACCTCAAGTTGGCCTTCATCGCGAACCAGTCGCAAGTAGAGACCTTGATACGCGATGCCGACAACGGCGTGGTCACCATGGAGAGCGCCGACGTCGCCAAGGCCAAGTCGCACGCCCAACTGGCAGAGCGTCGGATGCGGTCCAACGTGAAGCTCGTGGCCGCCACGTCCCAAGAAGAGATTGCGCAGTCGATCAAGGCGTCCGAGGCGGGCCAGGCCATGGGCAAGGGCAAGTCTTACGTCGCCATCGCGATCGACGCCAAGACTTTGTGCGAGAGCGGGACGCAGGGTAAATACCGATTGGGGCCCAGCCGTCCGCACCACTTGAGCAAGCTTCTCGGCGCGGTGGTAAATGCGCGGGCGACGGGTGAGAAAACTCCAAGTCTACCAGCCAACGATATCATCGTCGCCCCCGATGGGTCCAAAGGCCAGGACTGGGAGGATAAGATTGTCAAAGCTCTGAGCCCCATGAAGCTCGAGGTGACCAAGCGTTATGCGATGTTCTCCCAGGAGTCGCTCGAGAAGCGTCTCAATCGGATGCACGGCAACCACGCGCTGGAGCAGATGGAGACGGTCCTCCTGCTGTCGTCGGAGATGCCCATCTTCAAGATCGGGCCGCGCAAGCTGAGCCCGAAGGCGACCACGCGGGGCAACGTCATCGGCCCTCTGGATGTGGCAGACTGGAGCGACAAGGACCGATGCCTCCTACATGGGGTCCGCGTAAACGGGGTGGATGATCGCGCCGCATCGCCGATGCATCGGTGATGTGACTTAGTGGGGCTTGATCCTCACGGCGCCGACGTTGTCGATGCATCGGCGAAGCATGCATCGGCGATGTATCGCGATCCTCTGACCCCCTCCATTCGGACTCCATTTGGGACGCCTCCAAAGGACGCTACGTGGACAGTGCCCTGGTCTGACAAGAAAGCGATGTACAGCACTGAGAACCTGCCGCTGCCGGGCGGGAATTGCGGCGTCGAGCACAAGAAGGACAAGGCCACGAAGGCGTCCGACCTCGTGCCCTCCTTCTGGCACGAAGGGCCTCCAGCTCTGGCCACGGAGGTGGCCCACCTGCTCCAGGCCACATCGATCATCGATCTCACCCCGGGCTCAGGACATTGGGCAATGTACGCAGTGCGCAAGCAGATACCTTACCTTGGCGTGTGCTTCACTGACGCCCACGTCGAGTTGCTCTATTCCAAGCTGCGCAGCAGGATCCTCTCGGCGGCCATGGACGCGAACGACCTCGACCTCTACGACGTGAACCTCTCGTCCCTAGTGACGTCCACTCGGAAGGACGCTACGACGCCCACCAAGGACTCCAGCGGATCTCAATCTGCTGGCTGCGTCACTCCGGTGGCTGGTGGGAGCACCCCCATCGGCGGCGGCACTCCGGCGGCGGCTGTTGTCAAGGGCGCGGCGGACCGGCAGTCCTTGCTCGATCGGATCAACGCGATGAAGCAGCAGTCCACTGCTGCGGCTGGCCAGGACATCGATGATGAGGAGTGATCGAGTCTCAGAAGCAGCCCTGCAGTAGTAGCGCCGCAGCCCACGGCACTCAGGATGAATCCAGGCGGTCAGGCGGCATGACATCGTCGAGGGAGGGGGCACTCGACAGTAGTCTACAGTAGGCGGGGATGAGTGCAATGACGACAGTTGAAGCTGCATTGCCATTTGTCGCCCGGCGGCGGCCCACTTTGCGTGCTGGACCGTTTCCCGCCGGGCGCTGAGCGTACTAAATCCTCCTCTGACCTCGTCCTCGCCCTCCTCAATGAGATTCCCCCGTGCCTCGATTGCCCGGCGTTGAGGCACACCCGCCATCCTCGTCCTGCTCCTCCTCCTCCTCCTCCTCCTCCTCCTCGTCACCATCCGTCTTATCCTCGAGATCCTCCCCTTTCTCATCAATCTCCCCCTCCTTGTCCTCCTCGCTCCCTTCGTCCCCCTCGCCCTGATTCGCCTCTTATGTCCATGACATGCCCCTGCGCACGGCGCCGATGGGTTCGACGCTGGTCAGAGCATGGCACGCCGGGGCGAACGTGTCCAGAAGGGGTTTCCACCGCCATCATCCGCATCCACAGCCTCGACATCCTCGGCATTACCAGGGTCGCCAACATCGCAATCATCCATCAACACTGCATCATCAAAGTCGTTCAGCATCATCAGAATCGTCACCATCTCAGACATGTCTAGGTTTTCGGGCCCGAAACGCAGACAACGACAGGCAGACTCCGACAAACTCGTAGAGCAGACAAACTCCATGGCTCCTGGGGCCCCTGGAGCACTTTGGGCCTCTGGAGCCTCAAAGCCCCCGGAGCCGCCAGCCCCTAGACTGAACCCGCAGGCGTTGGGGGGCCCTGGGTGCACCAGAGCTCTTGGAGCCCAAGTCACATGCGCATGGAGCCTCTGAAACCCCAGAAGCCCTTGAACCCCCCGACCCCTAGACTGAACCCCTAGCCCCTGGAAGGCCATGGGCGCGCCAGAGCCCCGAGCCCCTAGCCCCTGCATGTGCTGCGCTATGCTATGCTATGCTATGCTATGGCATGCGGTGATATGGAACGCTATGTTGTGGTATGGCATCAATGCGAGTGTTATGATATGGCGTTCCCCGCTGTTTCACGTGCGTGCATACATGCATATATACAGTTGCGCGCTCACATATAACACGTGCGTACACATAGATATGTGTATATGCACAAGTTGATATGTTAGCCGTTGTTGGCAATCATGTGCATACGCATGTTAGCGGGCACGCAAGTTTGAACGTGGTGTGTGTATACACACATATATATATATATATGCACACACGCATATATATATATATATACATACATATGTATATATACATATATATATATATATATATATATATATGCATATATATACATATATACGTATATATACATACTTGTGTATACGTGCATATGTACAAAGACACGAACGATCATGTGACAAACACTACCACGTAAAAAAACGACAAGCCATTTCGGGGACCAACGGGGGCCCCCTACGTGCACTCTCCCACAATCCCTTCGGTCGCTGAGCTGGGCTAGCGCTGACCTGCGCTGTGCCCGAGTCCCCGATGCCCCCCTTGACCCATTAGGGCCCATCAGGGCCCATCAGGGCCCATTAGAGCCCATCAGTGCCCATTAGTGCCCATGTGCACCAAACGCGCCCTAAGACTCATGCGGTTTTCAACGTGCCATAAGACTCAGACTGGCGCCGTGTCACCCGAACCGAAAAGTGCGATGTCCATGATTAAATTGCGGGCATCATGGTAGCCCTCGCCGTGAAATACACTAAATTAGTGAACTTCCACTTGCCAAATGTAACCACCCGCTCGATCGACCATCAAAGTGGCGATCCGCAGATATTCATCCAGGAAGGCGTCGGTCATGTAGACTAGCCTCTGCGATGACAGCGCTGCCTTGTAAACAACTACTGGACCGGTGCCTGCCTCGACGCGGTCGCTCACGCACCTCCTTGACCACGAAAACCAATGACCCCGCAGCGGTGGACTGAATGAAGGTGGACTCGTGGGCCTTGGCCGCGACGGCATAGATCTTGCAATCGGTGATCAACCCAGCGGCTGCTCGACGCCGTTTGGCGGCGCGCACCACGCACTGCTTCTCAATTCGGTCTTTCCCCTGCTCGAGCTCCTCCACCGATGCGTTTTCAAGAGCCCCGAGTCTGCCTGCCCAGGCCTCCTCTCGCCGAGCGCGTTCCACTACTCGCAAAGTCCCTACTCGCAAACGTCAGAAAAACAAACATGTATGCGTGTGTCATAACATGTCGTAAATCCCCCGCGGCGGATCTTGGCCGTTTGCGAGTAGTTACTTTGCGAGTAGTGGAACGCGCCCGTCTGTCCTCGGATAGTCCTTGTCCACGTCTCAAGCTGCAACATCGCATCTGGATCCACGGCGCGGACGGACTTCAGTTGACCTGGGCTCGCCGCTGCGTCGAGCTGCCGCTCCTGCCGCCAGCAGCCCTCGCAGCCCTCGTTCCGGGCACGCAAATGCTGCCCGCCAACATCGCTTCGCTGCTGCCTGTTTCCACTGCCGGTGTCGCTCCAGATGCCCGCAGCTCGGTGCAGCACCTGAGGTATGTCGCCCTTCCCGAGCTCGATGATCTCCATGCGGTCGCAACAAGCGCCGTTGCCCAGGGAGGCGACGGGGCGGTTGTAGCCCTTCCCGAAGGACTGCTCGACCCCGCTCGTGGATCCACCCGCTGCCCAGTAGCGAATGATCATATCTGCACTAGCGCTGGCCATCTTCGCAGCTCGCGTCCAAGCATCCACAACCACATCGAATTCTCCGCGGCCACGCGTGCCACCAAATGACGCACGGACTCCATCTCCCCCACCAGCTCGTCCGAGGTCGCCTCCGCCTTGAAGGCTTCGATCAAGCGCTCCATCTGCCTGTGGCGCTGGGCGTTGGCTGAGTTCTCGGCGCGCGCGCCCATGCCCCTGTCATGCTGCGCGACATTGAAGACGCCCCACGCCTGGATCGCCTCGAAGCTGGGGAACTCCGCCCGGAGCGTCTGCACGACTGCCGCGACCCAATTCATCATGCGTTTGAGGCATCTCGTCTGCACAGCTGGGGCCGCGCCGTTTGGACAGTCCAACGCACGTACGCCAGCGCCTGGAAGCATGATGGGGTGCTTGATCAGCTTCAGCATGCGCCCAGTGAGCGCGCAGTCCGTCTACGCGGCCACTGCTGGGTGGCCGCCGACCCCGAACAGCGTGCGACGAACGCGCTCGCGTTGAAGGACAGGTCGTCAGCCGGGAACCTCTCGTAGTCTAGGTGCCTCATCAAGTGATAGTGCTCATCTCCAGCGTCTGCAAACATTGCAAGCTGCAGAGTCTTGAACTTCTTTGAGCCCCACTGATCGAACAACGTTGCTAACAGCCTTGGCCTCCGCACTTGAGTTCTGACGTGTCCTGGCCACCTGGACCAAAGCGGCGATGAGAGCTGGAAAATGCAACGCGCATCTGGCCAGGGGCAGCTGGCCGCTCTCGAAACTGAGGCCGACGGCTTCGCCACGGCCCTGAGGTGCGGACCCAAGGAGGAAATATTCTTCTGGAACCAGGCGCTGAACTGTTCCGAGTACTGCATCAGTTTGGTAGGAGACTTATTATCTTCTGCGACGATCAACGAGCACACCATGAGCCGCCGAAAAAAAAAAGAGCAAGCGCACCGCTCTGATTATCAGAGCTTTCACCAAGCCATTGCCTGTCGCAGCGCATGCCCTGGCACCAAATTCTGAACCGCAATACAAGCAGCGAGTCCCATAGCAGCGAACCGATTCAGGAATTACACGCCACTGCAGCTCCATCATCGAACAACATACCACAACTCCCAATCATAAGGAATACGTCTGCCTTTCGCTGACCAGGCTCAGCCATGATCTGAGCACATCGGCCAAACATACGGATTGAACAACTGCGTGTCATCTTAACTTGCACCCCGTACTCAATTAAACTTAGTAGCGTGCAATTGTTGAACGAACTGTTTCGTCCTGTGTTATGTGACCTGTGTTATGTGACCAGGAATGCGCACTTATTGAACAATCGATGCGAATAGCCACATCACCCCCGCGTTAAGGTTAGCATGCGGCTGCAGCATCGAAGTCGATGGCCCCTCATGTGGCCACAACGTTTCGCCGGAGTCCTGCCGGTGAAGGAATGACTCCATGATTTGACTGATCCTGTAGTCTTTGGCGTAAGTGTGGAAATCCTCGTACGAGCCAGTTTCGCGACCCAACTGCCTCTTCTGATGCATGGTGGCGTCGCTCGTTGTGCGAACTTGGACGGGGATACACTCGCACACTCTGATGTTTACAGACACTTGCCTCCCACAATTGTACGCAAGTCCACCATCGCCGTCGCCCACAAACAGTACTCGCCAACCACTCACAGTTGCCAGCGTGCACATGCTAATCAAATCGAACCTTCCATCACCGCCGACAAAATGCATTGGGTCGACTGAACCTGCACTCGAAATTTTGACAACCATGTTTCGGCCATCGCCTATAGTGGGGATCCCATCTCCTGAAGCCCATTCGGCACACATCTTGGGATGATATCCTTCGACGCATTAAGGCAATCTGAAATGGCGACCCACTCGCCCTGATTGTATCCCATCGCCTGCTGATTGATACCACCACCGATGATGGCAACTGACCGATGATGGCTTCGTACGTCATGTTCTCATAGACCAGCCGTCTCTCGGCAGCGTCTGGCTTGTGCTTGAGATATTTAGTGAGAAGCGCATCCAAATGCTCACGATGGCCGCTTGGAGGGCATACGCACGAAACCACGACGATACATGGCGACCCTACCACCAACGAATCCTCATACATTTGAAATATATCGCGCGCTTTCACTGAGACTCCTAGCTGTCGCAAACGTGATCCATTATGAGCCTCGATCGCCGTTGTATCTATGTCAGAGACTTCCCATGACTGTAGATTCTGCACATCGCCACCTTGACCCGCCATGAAAACCTCACCCGCCTAAGAAATAAAGATCGCCCCACTTGAAAGGTGCGAGGCGCAGCTCAGAAACAAAGCTCGTTGGGCCAGCATGTTCACGGAGCAGGTCGGGGGAGGGGGGGGGGAGGGGGAGGGGGAACGGATGGCCTGCTCAGGGAGGGGGCGGGGGGGGGGGGTGAGTGAGTTATTCCGCTCCCCAGAATGTTATGCGCGGCTATGCCATGCTGCATGTGCTGCGCTATGCTATGCTATGCTATGCTATGGCATGCGGCGATATGGAACGCTATGTTGTGGTATGGCATCAATGCGAGTGCTATGATATGGCGTTCCCCGCTGTTTCAAGTGCGTGCATACATGCATATATACAGTTGCGCGCTCACGTGCGTACACATAGATATGTGTATATGCACAAGTTGATATGTTAGCCGTTGTTGGCAATCATGTGCATACGCATGTTAGCGGGCACACAAGTTTGAACGTGGTGTGTGTATACACATATATATACACATATATATATATACGCACACACGCATATATATACATATGTATACATATATATATATATGCATAAATATACATATATATATACATACTTGTGTATACGTGTATATGTACAAGGACACGAACGATCATGTGACAAACACTACCACGTAAAAAAAACGACAGGCCATTTCGGGGACCAACGGGGGCCCCCTAAGTGCACTAGAGTAGATGATCTCCGAGCGAAAGGCCGCCCGAGCCCTGCAGCGTGTTAATCAACAGCCCGATCTCCTTGAAGGCAAATATTTTGGCAGGATCACCTATGCGGCTGCATGGGCACAGATGCGCAGCCGCAACCTCTCAAGATGGCTCCTGGACACCAGCCAAGGGCGGAGATGGCAACCTTCCAACGGGGAAGAATGGCAGTTGCTGCACCACTGCATTTCTTTCACTGAAGCGCACCACGTGACCCGTGTCCTATGCAACGGTCTACCGGGCTCGGCAAGACGACGGGGTGACGACGAGAGGAGACCACACAGGTGTTCATGTGGATCACCAGCCAGGAACGTGTGGATCACCGCCGGGCCCGATGATGAAGGCGCAGCCTGGTGCGCGAGATGCATCGGCCCAGGCCCACATGCATCCGCTCTCTGGCAAGCGCTGCCTCTCGACATCCCCCCCCCTTCGGGACCAAGCAGAAGCATGCGCGCGCTCTCGGGGCCACCTACAACCGCCCAACAGAAGCGGACCATGCGGACGATGCCCACTCTGTGGGCTCGGAGAAGCGACCACGGAACACGTGTGGCACTGGTGCCCAGCCGCGGCGCTTGCCTGGTGCACCGTCAGGGGCCCTGACGACCCACTGACCCTCGCCCAAGCAATCACCAGCAGTGGCGAACACCAACCCTTGCTTGCGAAAGTGTTACATCAAGTTTCCTTCAGGTACTGCGTCAACCCCACAGCCTCCCCCCTTAATGCCGTCGGGGCCGCCAGACTCATTCTGCACGGCATCGTGGCTGCCGACATCGACCAGCAAGGTGACAGCGAGGATGAGGGGCAAGGGGTGGGCGAACCCCCCAGGACCGGCAACCCAGACGAGACGGCTGTCTGGTCCGTCATGCGCGACACCTGCAGTACTTGCAACCCGTGCACCACCCCCGAAAGAGCGATCTGTGGAGCCGCTAGGCCCCACATGCAGCGGCATGCCCGCAGGGCCGGAGGTGAGATTCGCAGGCTCCCAGTTGTCACCGGACACCACAGCCCGGGGGATATAATCGTTGTCCTACAAGCACCCCAGACGCGGGTTGCATGGATGCCCCCAGGAAACGGGTGGTTCCCTTGCACCACAACCCCACCGCGGGCTCTCCCCGGGCCCTGGCCATCGCAATCGTTGCACTCCCCGATTGTGACAGCGCACAGATGGCGGAAGTGGCAGGCTGCCGAGCTGGGTTGGCACTGCTTCCCCACCTCAAGGGCCCAATTCGGGCAGCCAGGATTGTTGGCGACAACCTCGCCGCGGTCCGATGCGGCGCCGGTGCCGCCAGGTACCGAAGGCTCAACTTTGCCCGGCAGATGGAGGACGCCCTCGGGCAGGCGGAAGGAGCAGGCTGGGTACTCACTTGGCAAGCGGTCAGACGGAGGCTAAACAAGGCCGCGGACAGCCTTGCCACCATCGGGGTTTACTGGGCCGACGCCCTCCGCAAGGAAGGCGTGACTGCCGTCACCACCATGCACTGGGCGTGCGATGCCCCCACCCGGCCCGCGCATTTTCCCTGCCGTGACTTACGGGAGACTAACCTATGCGACCCCGCGGAAGCGGCCGCGGCCGCGGTCCTGCTGGAAAAGCCCCCCTCCCCTTCTCTCCCCCCTGCTCCGCTCCGATCGGATCGCCGATCGGTCGATCCCCGCGGCAACTGAGGTCATTGCTGCTGCGGCTCAAGTTCGTCATCCGCCCCTCACATTGCAATGTGCAACGAACAGACAGGCCTGCCACCGTGGGACTTAATGCCCTCCCTATGGATCAAGCAGCAGTGGAACGCGGAATGGGCCTGCAGGAGGTGCCTTGTACACATCTGGAATGCTGCACCTGGCGTCCGCGACCGCATTCTCGACCACTACTCAACAGATGTATTTCCCGCTATCTCTACCAAGCGGCAGACCACATCAGAAGTTCCTGAGGACAGCTACAGGTACGATATGTCCGCGCACCTCTCCCCAGGTAGCAGGGCGCCACGGGGAGAAGCGGACGCGCGTGTCCCACCCCGCGAGGACCGCTCTGCACTGCACCACAAAGAGCTCGGTAAGCAAGATGGTTCAGTCGACAGGGCCTCCAACAAGTACTCCCTCCCCGACCTGCCTCCGCCCCCGGCTCCTCAGCTGCCCACGCATTCCACCCTCCGTCTGGAAGGGGGCGAGTCAAGAGGCCCAGTTCGTGCCCTGGTGAAATACCTGATCGAGTGGAGCCACACAATCTACATTCTCTGGGCCGCCTTTGCACAGCACCAGGGAGAGAGCATTGAGGGCGACATAACCGACGAAACTAGATGACCGATCGAGCAGCTGCTCCCCTTTCTGGAGTCAACATACTGAGAAGAAATCCCAAACGATGGCCGCCCTCCGCGCATCCCATGGGACGGACAGAGGGCAGCGGCAGCCAGGGTAGTCTCACACCTGGTGGAGAGCAACCCAAAGTACCAGGAGGACTGGGAGCGCCACGCAGGCAACCTCGCCAATCAGAAAGGGCAGGGCCCCTACCGACAGCCGCTGCACGTTCTCACGTTGTTCCTCACCAGGCTGGAGAACTCCGACTTAACCAGAGGAACTATTGAACTCCTCGCCGCCCAGCCCCAGGACGCGATTGCGAGAGGCACAGCCCGTGACGAGTCTCCTGCCGCCAGCTGGCTCAACAGGCCCTGGAGGAAGGAATCACCTGCAACTGACCGCCACGCTGGGGATCACGGTGCACCCCCGACCCGCGCAAACGCGCCACCCCAGCAGCCTGCCGTACCTGGCCAGTCCGACGCAGTCCCAGAAGAGGAGCCGTCCTCACCAGAGCGCTGGAATGGCGACGGCGATGTGGAAGGGATCGACCGGGGTGACGAGGCTGGCAAGAAATCCGAGACGGACGCCCGGTCGCGCTCCAGCCCGCCGGATACCTCAGCTGACTCCGGATCGCAGGCCAGCCCTACCCATCCAGAGGACGACGCCTGCGTTCCAGCCTCCACGGACGACAAGATGGCCCAGAGTCCCCCCCCGCTCTGGACTAAACCTCCCCTCAGGGCAGACTCAGAAGCCTGGTCCCCATTCGCGCGGGCTGCCGCCAGAGGAACACCCAGTGACGGGTGCGCCCGAGGCGATGCCCGCCCCAGAGAGGGTCGGACCCGGAGCCTTCACGCAGGCAGTGACGGCAGGACTCTTAGACACTCGGGGGGCGAAGGTGGCCGCCGTGCACCCACGGTTGACGAAGTCAGTACCAGAGAGCGCTCAGCCACGCCGCCGTCTCGCAACTCATCCAGACCATGGTGCGACACCCAGGACTTGTGGCACGACGCGCGGTCTGCGGCAACGCCAGCAGCGCGCCCTGATGACCCCATGGGAGGCCCCCCCATGTACTTGAGATCTATCGACGAGGCAGACGTTGCAAGGGGCGAACCAGCACCCGACAAGATCACACGGATGCAGAAGGCGCTGGGAGGCGCGTTTAACGGAGCCTGGAGCGCCTGGGTCAGGGAGGCAGCCCTCAGTCAAGGGAGTACCTACATCAAGTCCAACCCCAGGCTAAACACAGTACAACAATGCAGCGAGTTCCTACAGGCATGGAGCAAAATGGGGTTCGACGCCTATAAGATGGATAGAGAATACTAACTCCACGTCGACTGGCCGAGTGTCATGGATAAGCATCCATCGCCAACTCACGCAGCGCGACACCAGTCTGCGCACCGCCGACGGGCCCGTCGGCAGCGGACGCCCACCCCCATGGGCCGTCGAAGGCAAGGAGGCTGCAAAGGCCCCCCCAAGGACCACTGAAGGCAGGGATGCTGCATGGTCAGGGGCATCGGGGTCAGAGGCACCTTGGCGTGCATGGCAGACCTGGGGCGCGTGGGACCATCTGCAGGATGCATGGACTGTCGCTTACTGGAAGGCGAAGGGGAAGCGGTTTTCTCCCAGAAGGGGAAATCCAGCACGCAGACAAGCGCCCGCGGGGGTGGGACTTCCGACCCAAGTGATAGGGAAACAAGTGAGCCAGCTCGCTCCGCCCCCCCCCCACCCCTAGCGCCGGGAACACCGCGGCCCGCGCCGACACGGCGTTCTCCCCGTGCACGCAATCTGCCGCCCCCCCTTCCTCGCCTCTTCTCCCCCCCCCTGTGCTGTTGCCCATCCCCTGAGGAGGGTGGTTCGTGCAGCCCTTCTGCGGCTCGAGTCCATCTCTGGTGCGCTGGACCATGTCAGTTCTCAGAGTCGCGACTCGGCCCGTCATGGAACGCAGCGCGTGCTTCCTGGACAGCAATGATCTTGGGCAGCTGGGAGCGACCTCCACCTCCTTATACAAGGTGGCCTCTATTGCGCTGACCCTGTGGGCCATCTGGGATCCCGCGGCGCCTGGTGGAGCTCGCTGGGTTGGCAGCCTCATGGTCCTCAACCGGCCCTTCGCCTCGAACATCGACGCTGGGCTTGTGGACTGAAGTCAATGGGGGGCGTCAGCCACCCCACAGTCGAAGTTTTCCTTATGGATGCTCCTGGCCACGACGTGGGTAGGTTTCACCGCAGCGCTAGGCCTCGGCCATAATACCCCGTGCTACCTCCTTTGGGTCAGAGGTGCACCAATACCCATGCGCCGCGAACTAGACAGCCCACGCTGGTCTCGTGGATCCACCCTGGACGGTGGGCCCGGTGGCTGAAATAGTCCACCCCCCGCGCCCCACCCCTTCTGGCATCGTGGGCGGCATGGCTAGGGCACCCGCTGCCGCTCCGCCAGCCCATAGACCAGACTACCCTGCGGGACAGGTCGCCGTCAATGCTGCCCCTCAGGGGCGCCTACTTTGGACGACAGGGACCGGTGGCCAAAACAACCCACCTCCAGCGCTCCACCTTACAATAGACATGGCTCGACAGCAGGTGGGGGGGGGCGCCTACCGTGTCCAACGGCCGCGGGCTTCCCCCCTGCAGCCCACCATGTAAGGGCTCTACGGCTCTCGGCCGTGCCCTTCTCCGACAAGTCCACCACTCCGTGCAGCGCTTGGCGGCCTCCCCCATCCTGATCGCCGAGTTCGATCCTGCCCCGCGAATGCGACTGGGCTGTCACCCAGCGCCAGGTTGGACTCGCCTCCCCTCCCCCCTCTTCCTTCCTCCGCCGTCCATTCACCAGTTTCTGCGGCTCTTGGCTGCGCCCCCAACGAAGTGTGCCCTGGCTGGGAACGGGACAGTGCTTTGGTCAAGCCCAAGAGTGGAGGCCCTGGGCACGGTTGTCGTGCCACGGCACGTGGTGGCACCCCTCACCTTCATTCGCTAGTCTCTGCGGCTCTTGGCTGCGCCCCCAGCGTTTCGAAGGAACATCATGGCAGGGGAGCTGACAGTTTCAGCCACCCCTCCAGGTCCCCATGGCCCTCAGCGAAGTGTGCCTTGGTTGAGGACCTGACAGCGCCGTGGCACGGGCCAAGCGTGGAGCCCCTCGGCATGGCGTCGCGCCAGCGACTTGGTTGCACCCCCACGTTCATTCACAGGTGTCTGCGGCCCTTGGCTGCGCCCCCAGCGATGCGAATGGACATCATGGCTGGAGAGCTGACTGGCTCAGCCACCCCAACGGGTCACCACGGCCCACAGCGAAGTGCGCCTTGGTTGAGGACGCGCCAGTGCCGTGGCACAGTCCAGCGAGGAGGCCATGGACATGGCTGTCTTGCCAGCGGCTCCTGGGTGCACCCCCCGCGTTCATTCGCAAGTCTCTGCGGCTCTTGGCTGCGCCCCCAGCGTTGTGAAGGGACATCACGACAGGGGAACTGACAGGTTCAGCCACCCCACTGGGTCGCCGTGGCCCAGAATCTCGCTTCCAGCCGGGCCATCAGACGCACAGGTCGCACAAGGCCTGCCTGCGCCAGCCACCACAATGTGATTTCCCCCAGACTCCCTGGTCGACACGACGTGGTGCATCGGCTGGTCGCCAACTGCGTACGCCGTCATGAGGACGCGTGAGAGTGGCTTCCCCCCCATGGTCACCGCCGCGGCCAGCGGGCCCCCCCTACCTGCGGGTCTGGCCCACTTGGCACGGTTCGGGACGCCACAGGTGCTGGGCTTCGTCAAGGTGCAGACTGGCGCACCTCGCCCGCTTCTGGCACCACCCGATGTCGGGCCTGGTTCGGGCGTGTTCCTGCACAAGTGGTTCATCCTTAGGCAGGTCATCGCGGATCCCCCGGCAGGTCCGTCGCATGTATCCCGGTCGACGCTTGCGACTTTGCGCCCCCGATCTTCTGCGTCGGATAAGTCGCGCGCGGCGAACGCCGGCGACTTCGACGACAGGTTCCCTGACTGGTGTCGTCGCCTTCGCGTTCAAGCTCCTGCACAAGTGGTCCATCCTTGGCAGATCATCGCGGCCCCCCCGGCAGGCCGGGCCAGGTGACTTGGCCAGCGCTTGCAGCTTTACGCCCCCGATCTTCCGTGTCGGACAAGTCGCAGGCTGTGGACTCAGACGGCATTGACGACTGGTCCTTGACTGGGTACTGGTCGTTCTCACGCCCAAGAGCGTCCTGTGAGTCACTGCGAGTGAGGCTTCTCTCTGTGCCTTCCCATTTTCCTGCTGCCGGGTGCCCTGGCGCCCGCCGTGTCTCTCCTGTTCCTTTGCCTCACCTCTTGTTGCATGGACGGCGCGGCCACGCCTGGCCACCCCGCGCCGCCACAGCGCGGCGTGCTCCACGCCCTTTCGCGCTGCGCGGTACGGTCGGAGCTTGGCGCCACGTGTGCGACAATTCCTTTCCGTCCGCTTCCGGTTCTGTGCTTGCGCCCCCATCTGTCGGGCCGCCTGCGCGAGTCCCCAATGAGGGTCATTTTGCCCCTGGCGTGTGCACTCGCTACAGCGGCCTATGCGCCTCTGCAGCCAATTAACCGCATGCCGATGATAATAAAGGGACCCCCCCCCCTTTCAGTGTTTAGAGTTGATTATCGTCGCCCTATATAAAATTCAAATTGGGCGGCGAGCGCCGAGGCCGAACTTC